ACAAATATCAGAAGATGTGGATCTTATTTTATATATAATCATCCTATTAAAAGTGCTAAAAAGATAACATCAAATAAAATAGATGGGTTGGCAGTTACAATATTCCATTACCTGATACTAACAAAGAAGGACCCAAGTTCATTTGGGTACCAAAATTTGTCTGATCTTATTTTTCAGGTGCGTCGTTACTGCACTGATTAAAGATTCATACATATGATGCTCAAATTCAGGGGGAGGTTATAATCTGTCCAAACGAGGCTTCTGAACAACACAGTTCAGGACCAGTACTTTAATGTTTGTGGTTTCTAAACACCCAGTTTAGGACCCGTGCTAAACATAATTCCAATTTTTTTTTTAATTTTTGAGCTGAACTGAAACATTTCTTAAATCTATTTTCCAGGGGAGTCTCTAGAAATTTCAATAAATGTTTTCAGAAGAATTTTTGTGTGTGTGGAAACGAGTACAACCTCTGATCAGGTATTTCCTGAGATTTTACTTGGGTAATTTCTCATAGTACATAATTCTAATACCTGTTTTAGCTATTCTTCAAAATGTTATTATCACGTCTCTTAAAATGAAAATCATTCTCGGTGATAATACGCTCGTTTGTATTCAAAGGTTGTATTTTTGATTTTTTTACCTTTCATTCGATAATTCTGTGAATATTCTGAATCTGTAAACTCGTACTTACAGATCTTCGTTCATTTCTCTCACTTACTAAATAATCTGATTTCGTAAATCACTCCTTCATTGTTTGTGCTTAAACGATATATTTTTCTTGATCAATTTTATCTAGATTATTGTGCATTACATAAATAATACTTTTGATCAATTGTTTGTGATCATTTGAGCATAATGCTAAATTTAGGAGGGACTGAGTGCTTATTAGAAATACCTCTATGGAATGTCTGAACCGACAGACCTACCCAAGAGGACAACCATATTTGAGTGAGCTTTAAATCAAAAAGGGTTTGTGTGCTGAGATTAAAATGAAAATGAGAGGGGTAGTTATTGTGAGATAAAAGAATTGACGAGAGTGGTGCCATGATTAAAAGAATATATAGAATCTTGTTCTAAACTTCAAATTACCGGGCATACCACAAAATCTATTAGTTCTCAATTCTTTCGAGACTAATATTGAAAAAGGCAAACCCAGGCCAATTCTTGTCACAACCCACCAGCTACTCATTTATCTCTTAACAGATAAGTGTTTCAATAACACTTGGGGCATGCAGCTCACAATCTATCAATTTCTCATTCGGAGAAAGTTGATATTGAAACAGAAAGATATATGTCCCCCCTTCAAGTCTTTTTGATCACGCATTGAGTCAGATAAATTTGTATAGTCCACACGGTTTATCACTTTGAGCCTAAACAGAAGCATATGTTGCTTTATCTTTCTACACTACACAGATTTTGCAAATTATATGTTATTCATAGATATACTTTTATAAGATATCAATGATTGAATGGAAGACCTGGTGAGATGAGCCTCATAAAGTCTCATATATACAGTACATCCGTTGTACTGAGTATATATGTTATACTCATGGGCCAATCTTTTTATAAGATTGAAAACAATTTCATAAGTTGAAATTGGTTGTTATCTTCCCATTCCCTTTAATCTGAAAAGATTAAACAAGTGGATTTGAAAAGATCTGCTTACAATTTTATGAATTGACGGTTTTCGCAGAAGATTTCATTCATTCTTGTGTATGATGTAATGATTTTCATTTCATCATAAGAGGGAGTAGGTAATAATGAATGAAATGTTCATTTCCGAACGATATAAGAGGAATATGTTTTAAAGATCAATGGGGAGTAACATAAAAATCGGCAAAAGACTCGAAAGGAGTGCGAGTGGAGATTATTACTGAAGATTATTCTTGTGCTGAAATGTTTGAGAGTTTTTGAATGTGAAGATCATCGTTTCAAAAGTTTACTTATAAAGATTTATCGTCAAAGAGAAAGTCTGTGAATTTTTGTCTGAAGAAGTTCGGTTTTGGAAAGAAAGTTAGAGTTTTTTGACTGAAGATTTTTTGAAGATCGTATTTTGAAGATTATATCTGAAGATCGTTACTATTACTGTTCTACATTGTCAAAAGAGAAGATCATCGCTGTTCTACATTCGAGGGGGAGAATGTTAGAAGATCTTTCTCAACAAACGATCGTTTGAAAATTTCAAAGTGAAGATTTTTAGAAGTTTTTGAAGAGGTTATATAGTGCTTAAAGCAACAAATTTCAAACGATATTCAAAGTGCGTAAATTCTTTCAAGTCTGAATACAAAGGGGGAGAATGTTAGGACTGAAAATCAGTGTTAAATTGTATTCGTTTTGAAAGTTAAAATTGTCTACAATTGTAAAAGTCATCGTGTTTGACTTTTCTAGATAGTTTGACTTTGACTTTCAAGGGTTATTGTTTGACCCTATAAATAACATTTGTTTATTGTAAATCTTGTAAGGAACTCAATTGTAAAAATCATTATACGTAATAGAGGTTTGACCATACTTTGAGTTTTGACTTTTCCTCTCAATTGTAAAAATCATTATAAATCAAGTGTTGTGTGTCCACAATGATCAATCTTCAAGTAATCTCTAATTCATCAATGGCAGAATCTCAGATCTAACATTCAAGAACACATATGATATTTGAGAGAGAAAGTCAAACTTCAAGACTTGGTCAAACCTTCTTTACGTATATTAAATCTTACAAATGAGCTCCCTTCTCTTAGATTTACAAAGACATTACCCTATTTATAGGGTCAGACTTCTAAACACAAGTCAAAGTCAAACTCCTATAATAAAAGTCAAACACGATGATTTTTACAATTATAGACAATATTTAACTTTCAAGACGAATACAATTTAATACTAATTTTCAGTCCTAACATTCTCCCCCTTTGTATTTAGACTTGAAAGAAATTTTGCGCTTTGAGTCCTGTTTGAACTTTGAAACTTTAAGAACATTATGTCATCTTCAAAAGAAATCTTCAACCAATCAACTGTTGAGAAAGATCTTCTAGCATTCTCCCCCTCGAATGTAGAACCGTAATGATCTTCTCTTTTGATAATGTAGAACAGTAATCAACAGATACAATGTACAAGATTTGATCTTCAAAGAATCTTCAGACAACAAATCTTCAGTAAACTGTTGTAAAGATGATCTTCACATTCAACATCTCTCAGTCGTTGTAGCACATGAATAATCTTTCTGTAATTATCTTCAGTCGCACTTCTTTTGAATCTTTTGCCATTATCGAAGTTACTCCCCCTTGATCTTTGCATTAGATTCCCTTTAAAAAGTTCGGAAAAGAATATTTCATTCATTATTACAT